AATATACTACATTTGTAAGGATCAAATTAAAAATATATTACGTGTATAAACAATCACTACAATAAAATAGATTTTTAGTAGCATTTAATATGACTTTTAGTGGCAATAAAAATCGCTACAAAATCTTTTACCGACATTTCACACATTAGCCATTGTATGCAGTGTCGCTAAAACATTTAGCGACAATTATTCTATATACTTGTAAAAACTCTCATAATGGTCGAGAAAAATGTATAACTTTTTGTGTCATTTGTTACTGGCATTTAAAATTGTCGCTAAAAGTTTAAGAAAAGATTTATAATACTCTTTAATTAACTTATTTCTAGTCGATGTAGGACTTGTAAGATGAGTACAAATACTCTTTAGTTACCTTATTTCTAATAGATGTGAGACTTAGAAGATGAAGGTTATCTTCTAAGTATATATTTTTTAATTTTTTTAATTATCTTATCTCCTAAATACCAATTTAGAATAGTAAGTTATAGGCCTAACTCAACCTTATAAAACATACTTGTAAGGTGAGAGTTATCATTCACTTATATATACTCTTCAATTATTTTATTTTTAGTCGATGTCGGACTTAAGTTTTTTCTAACAAATAATTATCGCTAATAGTAAATTTTGATGTGATATAAATACATTTTTAGTGGCCATTATATAATAATCATTAATATTTTTATTAAATAATAAAATAGAGATAATTAATTTATTTCTATTAAATAATTATCAGTAATACTTAAATTTTGTTGTAGTGAATAAAATAATATTTTGTAATAGACTTAAATAAATTTTGATGTGATATAAATACATTTTTAGTGGCCATTATATAATAATCATTAATATTTTTATTAAATAATAAAATAGAGATAATTAATTTATTTCTATTAAATAATTATCAGTAATACTTAAATTTTGTTGTAGTGAATAAAATATTTTTCCCTCAACTTCGGCCCGGAAAGTAGCCATGGCAGCCCCGGCCTCGGCCTTTACTTGTTGTTCCCGAGCCGTAAGTTCCTGCACCTCTTGGACCCTCATCCGTTTGGCGTCTTCCGCCGCAAGCGCCCGGCCTTCCATCTCAGCATAAGCCTCTCTTAACCGAGCCACCTCGGCCTCCAACGACAACTTCTCACTAGAGGTTTCCTCATGCGCCTCGACGGACTATTGAAGGGCCGATTTAGTCTCGTCCAGACTCTTCTTCAAATTATGCACATCGGCCATAGGCTCTAAAGCCATCTTCCGAAATATGGCCGTGGACCTCAAGGGCAATTCACAAGCCATAGCCCATTGAGCCGAGGGGGTAGCTGAATCAAGCATCCGATGCCCCTGACCTGACAACAAGTCGGATGACATTATTCGTGCCGGACGAATCTCTTCCGACAAAAAATCCTTGGCGACAATGGCCGAAGGAACGGCCAAATCGGTCAAGCTACTTTCAACCCGGCGTTGCTTAGGCCGAGTGGTCTCCCCAGCAGCAGCATCAGCTTTCCTCTTCCCTTTGTCCTTTTTCTTCTTTACCAAAGGATTCGGAAGAACAACAATTAGTCTCCATATTTTAAAATCTCAATTTATTTCTAAACATACCGATTTTATTCCCTTTAAAGCAATGCCATCCATTTTTACAAGACTAAGAAAGAAAGCTAATAGAATTACAAGAACTAAAAAAATTATATAACTATAAAGACTAAAAAGAAAAATTTATATGAGTATAAAAACTAAAAAGAAAAAAAAATGGTATGTATAATTCAGACCCTTAGACAAGTAAAATTATGAGTCAATTTGAATACTATTGAGTTTTGACTAATCATTAAGTGTGTTTGGGTGAAAAATTTAAATGAAATAATTCATTTGTTTGAAGAATTTTAAATTTCTTGAGATGAAATGCTTTGTTAGGATGAAGAATTTACAAAAAATTTGAAATTCAAACATTTGTAAAATTTCTTAAAATAGTAGAATTTTAAAATTCTCCTAAAAAAGTAAGAATTTGAAATTCTTCATATATTTTTTTTCTTATTTTACTTATATATTCTTTATTCTATCTCTTATCTCTTCATGCTTTTAATTATTGAATATTTAAAAATATTTTTAAAATTATTAAATATTATCTAACATTAATTTTTAAAATTGGTTAATATTTATTTTTATAAAATTTAATTTAAAAACTCAAAATATAAATATATTTTTAAAATCGATTTTATCATGGTGGAATCAAATTACCATATTCAAGCTAAAAATTTAAAATTTTAAAAATTTAAAATTCAAATAAAATATTTTAAGAATAATAATAATTAAAATCAAAAACTTTAACTCCCTTGAATTTGTAAAATTATTCATCCAAACACATCAAAGTAAACAATAATGTTTGGTATGAAAATTCTCGGTATATCATTGACTTCCTGATCAATAATAATGAAAGTGTCATCCTTTTCTATCATTTTTACACGTAAAAAAATTTAAAACTTAAAACTATAAGAACTAAAAGATAAAATTTATCAAATTATAGAAAAAAAGTAATTAAATAAATTAAACTTAATTTTTTGTTTTTACAATTGATGGCACCTCTTTTAATTTTTTTTTTCTCATCGGAAACAGACTCCGCACTTTAAGTATCCGTTACAGTTGATATATAAAAGAAGAAATAAAAGCCCTAATTTAATACTATTTACTACGGTTCACACCATCTTCGCATTTTTTTCGCATCCGTTTTGTTTGACAAAAGCAAGAAAAGCCAATATTTATTTATTGACTATATTCATTTATTATCATTTTAATTTCCCACTTCCGAATGTTTTTCGGGCAAAACTCGGAACAGTAATAACATGGTTCCAAAATAGATTAATACAACATTAAAAAAGCACTATGAAATATTTAAGGTTCCACTCTGGTGGACCCAAACCCATTTAAGTTTTCATCTTGGCCGTTCGTGTTTCAATCAACGGCTGGTAACTAATGATACGAGTCAACACAAAACCGTGGGCTTCGTCAATTTAAATTTTACCTACTTTAACATCAACAACCGTTGCTAATGGCTTTGCCTCTTTCATCATTGATGATTTTTCAAAAAAAAAAAACCCTCAAACGTTTCCTGAATGTGCTCACATCAAAGTTTGTAATGAAATGAATATAGGTAAAAAGACAAATTACATTGAACTCTTTTAAATGAATTTACAGAAAAGTTGACTTTTGGTAGGGCAGATAGAAGAGAGAGATAAAAAAAAAAAGGAAAAGAAAAAGATATACAATGTTTGTTGAATCCATATAGATAAAAATAAATAAATAAATAAAGATAAATGAAGAAATATGATAAAGGTTGGCATATGTGTTATGACATAAAAAAATAAAAAAGACTCATTTGTTTTATAATCATTGTAATTAGGACTTTTAATTCTCATAAAGATAAAGGATTATATGGTTTCGTAAAAACTAAAATTGAACTCTTGATATTTTTTTTATTAATATAAAAGATTACAATGACAACATGAATTAAATTTGTTTTTATACATTTACTTTAACATTGACTTCTAGATTGATTTTAGTTGTTGATATTAAAGTGTCATATTTAACGTGTATAATTATTCTAATTTTAAGAACCTACACTAATTTTTATTTGTATATATTTAATGGTTATATGAATTTTATAAAGAGGATATCAAAGGAAAGTGCATGTAATTTTGATTTGATTTTAATGTTAAGAGCAGTCAAAAACTTTAAAGCAATTGATTTAAAAGTGTTAATTTCTTTTTAGATCAAACAGCCTAACAATCTTTTATTAGTTAACGATGAAAGAGAATCTTAATTAGAATACAATTTTTTAAACTCATAAATATAAATAATTATACTTTTAAGTTTTTTTTTAATGATTCATGAACCATACACAGTAATAATTTTAAAAACGTTTAAAAATAAAAGGTGGCAACTGATTCAAAAATGGAAATGTTAAATAGTTGTTATATTCAAAATGCAAAATGACTTAATATTAATTAATGTTCTAATTATAAATAATTAATAATTTAAACTAAATATTCATCAACCATTACTGCTATTATCCTCATCCATAATAATAATAATCATTGGAATATTAAAAATATGTCTTTAAATAGATATTCATAATAAAGTATAATGCATTCTTTCTCATTTAAGATAAAAAAATATGTTTTATGAGGTTTAACAGTAAGATGGACCAATTTGCAGAAAGTTTAAATTTTATTGTAATCATTACATGCTAAAAAAATATTAACTTAAATATATTTTTAATTTCTATAAAATTGATGATTTTGATTTTGGTCTCTTTAAAACTTTTTTTTTTTTATTTTTCATCCTTTTAAAATTTATAAACATTGTTTTTGGTCCTTATAAAATAAGTAAATTTTGATTTTGATTTCTATAAAATATTTTTCTTTAGTTTTCATCCCTCAAAAATTTAAACTAATTATTTTTAATCCCTAATGATCATTTTAAGGTGGATAAATAATATTTATTTTAAAAATTTATAATTTTTTTTAGAAGTGTTAAATATCAATAATAGTTGTAGGTAAACTTAAGATGGTTACTTAACTTTTTAATAAATAAAAATTAGTTAAAAAATAATTACATAAAAGTAGATACTAAAAATAATAGTTTTAATTTTATAGGGATGAAAAATATAGAAAAAAATTTACAAGGACTAAAATCAAAACCTGCTAATTTTATAGAGGTAAAAAATATATTTAAGCCAAAAATATTTTTATGAAAATAATTTAAATTAAAATTTTTTATAACATGATAAAATTAATTTTCTCAAAAAAAAAAAGTTGTATACAAAAGTTTAAATACAATTATATTTTTTAAAAAAATAAAAGTCGCTTTTAAATTAATTAATCACTTATTAATTTTTAACAAACTTTTTTGAACACATTATTACATTAAATATATTCTTAGTTTTTATACTTTAAATAAAACATATAATGAGATCTTTTATTTTCATATCAATAAATTTGGTTATCAAACTTTAATAATTATGTGAATTTAGTTTCCTAACTCTAATGATTATTAGAGAGAAGAGACTAAATCTAGATATTTTTAAAATTTGAAAATTAAATTTATTAACATAAAAAATAATTAACTATATTTTTAACATCAAATAAGGTGGTTGTGGTATATTTATTAAAAGAGAATTGTTAATAATACATTCTTAATTACTTTTTTTTTATTTTTTATTATAAATAAAAATAACTGATTTTACACATATTAAGAAAGTTAATAATCCCAAGCGTGTGGTTCAGCGGTAGGGGTTGATCCACGCTTAAGCAAGGTCAAGGGTTCGAATTTTGTCTTATGTATGCAGCTGCGTTATAATTTTAGGTCAGCTATCCCAGCTTTTGAAGTGTCTCCAACATAGCGAGAAGATTAGTCACTACTATCGGTGGTGAATACTCTAGGGACGAACTAAAAGAAAGTTAATTATTTGTATTAAATTTTACTATTCCATAAATTTTTTTTCTAAATTGTCCTTATTAGATGTAAAAGAAATACTAAATTGAAAAGTCATATATTAAAGGAGAGATATTTTAAAAAAAATATCATTAAATAATATAAAAATAATTAAATTTGGTTATATTTAAGAACAATAAATATATATATTTTTTCTTTATAATGGAGAGTAGAAATAGTATATTTTTTTAAACACATTCTTTCAGTGATTAAAATTTATCAAAATATACAAAACTTGATAGATTTCATATCATGTTTAATAATTCTCTCTTATAATTTATAATTTATAATAAATTTTAACCAATAAAAATTAATGTATTAAAAAGAGTGTGCTACTAATACTCTTTTTTACTAAATTTAACAATTATAGTATCACTTAATAGATATAAATTAATCATTAATTATCAATTTTAGAATACAGCATGTTTATATAAATATTCACGCAACCAAAAGAAGCAAAAAAGTTAACTCAGTCGGTGACTTTATATAAAAAATTTAATACTTATATTAATATCCTGGATTAAAATAAAGTGCCTAATAAATGCTTGCGAGCGATTTACTCCCTTTAATAAAGCAGCTTTTTCTGATTGGTTAATGCAGGACAGGTGCAGCGAAAGGCGAACGCAGGGGAACGTGTCCCCTCCCCACTCTAAACGCGCACAGAAACGGCGTCGTTGCATGGCGTTTTGGTGTTGACGTGCGTCAACCCACTATTATAAATACCTTGCTCCTCCTTCCTTCACTCCTCACAACTCACAGTAACATTGCTTCTCTTGATTTCTTCTCCAAAAACGCTCCGTTTTGCGGTTCCCCATGTTTCATTCATCTCCCAGCTCTTCCAAGTGACTATGCTTCGTTTTCCTCTCTCTCTCTCTATAATTCTCTAACCTTTTTCAATTCTCTGCGTTGTTAAAACTTAAAACACTGTCGTTTTGTTCCTTTTGCAGAAGAATGGCGTCGTCTATGGACGTTGACAAGGTCGAGATTCCGCCACCAGTGAACGACGCGCCCAAATCGAAGAAGCAGAAAGAGGCATACACCTCAGCGTCCTCTTTATTTTGTTTTATTTTATTTTTTTGTTATTTTGCTCATGCTGGTTTCTTACTGAACTTTTGATTTTTTTAATTTTAATTTTTTGTTTTCGGTTGATGCTTTTTTTTAATTATTTTTTTAAATAAAACTTTAAATGCGCTTGCTTTTTTTGGTTTTTTTCAAGTGTCGTCGTGGCATGCATTTCGAGGAGTCCGAGGTTTCTCGGTTTGCGTGCTACGAGCTTAGTTTGTTGGTCTTGGGTTTCAGGAGAGGGATTGGCGTTGGTCGGAAATTCTCTGAGAAGAGGACGTTTATTGACTGCAACATTGTAAACTGTGTGTGTTTGTGTTTTTTTTTTTGAGAAATGGAAGTGTTTTTTTTTTTAAACAAAAACAAAATTATTTTATACTATCATTTTGATGCATTAATTTCGGGTTTCTTTGATTATTAAGTTACCAGTTTTGGGATTTTTTATTACATTGATTATTGGGAATGTAGCAAAGATCGGATATCACTGTAGTCGTGATCATGTCTTTTTTTAGTCACGTGTCGGAAAAACAAAAAACTGCATGGATTTTTACAGAATTATGCTATTGTTGGGCGGAGTCAAGTGATTGGGTGCTCAACAATTCAAGAATTAACCGGCATGCAAAAATATTTTTACATAAAAAAGTTTTTTTTTTTCTTCTAGAATTTTTGTTTCTCTCTTTTCTTTTTTGTCTGAAATTTTACTGATATATTATAACATGCAGAGCTATGTGTAGGGTTGTTTTCAGTTGGTAACACTCAGCACCACTTAAGACACTAATGCTTTGTTAATATTTTGTGATTGGTATTCCTAATCATGTTGTTTCTTCTCCAGTTGCTGATGAATATTTTTTTTCTTCATCATAAATTATGAACAGTACTTCCTTATTTCTTAATTTAAACTGTGAGATATTCAAATTGACTGAATTTACTGGATTATCATTATGTCCTTGACATGCATGCTTTTACCTTTGAACTAATTTTCCTTGCTTTCTTGTTTTTTTTCTAAGATTCAATGATCAATGATGCCTCTATGAGCTTTATGTTTTTCTTACTGAAACAAATAAATTAATCGTATTTTACTATTGTAGGTCATGCATGAAGGTATCAACGTAGACAATGACGATAACTCTGCAAAGGTAGCATTAAAAGGTGATATTGTTGTCAAAAGTGAGAAAGGGAAGGCGATTGAACTCATTCAGGAAGGTTACGGCGATAGTCAAACTATGGTATATGATTTATTTTTTTCTTGCAGATGGTTGATGTCATCTTTTTCAACATGATAAGCAACAGTAACATTTTGCTTGAAATCTTTTTCAGCTGGTGTTTGATGATCTATTTCTTCCATGCGGAAAGGCTAAATCCGGATCAGAAAGCAAGGTCAAGTCTTCCAATAGCGGTGCTAAAGAAACCCATAATTTAATTATTTTTAAAAATGTGTCAGACAGTATCTCTGACAGTAGATGGCGGTTGATAGAAGAATTCTTGACCATAATTGCCCGTATGAGTACTGCATCCAACATGAAACTTGTGGTTGGTAGTAAAACATCTATTCTCTCGTTGAGAACTCATTTGATCTTCATAGATTTCTCGAGATATTTTCTTACGAAGTTTTGTTATAGCATCTATGATGGCTTCCGGTTTAGGTGGACAGCCCGGCAAATAGACATCCACAGGAATTAACTTATCCACGCCCCGAACAGTACTATAAGAATCGGTACTAAACATCCCCCCCGTAATTGTACAGGCTCCCATAGCAATAACATATTTTGGTTCGGGCATTTGTTCATATAATCGAACTAAAGAAGGAGCCATTTTCATAGTTACGGTGCCCGCTGTTAAAATTAAAGGGTGTCAGCAACGGTCAGTCGGCGTTCCGAATCAAAGAAAGCCACTTGACAGTCTTATTAGAAGGACGAGTACAGAAAAAATGTAAAAATAAACCTACGGATGGCTCTATGTAGTGGTATTTACAAAGCACCCAGAACGCTTGCATATAAGCTCATGCGTTCGGGTGCAACTGCGTCGGGGCCACGTTCAACACACGAAGGACCCCCATCTGAAAATCGTCGAAGGGGAGCGACATCCCGAGCTCTCGGAAGAAACACTCGTACATGTAGAAAAAATCTCCGGTTCCTTCCCGCTTCGCAAGAAAAACCAGATCAAGCTCCCCAAGGCCTTCGGCCCGGCATCGACGCAGCAGAATAGGATAAGGATCCCAACCTTCCCATCGACCTAACGTGCAAAGACCGAGAAGACGTATCACGGCAGCCCTCTCATGAAAACGAAAGAAGTACGCCGCCACCTCACCATCGACCCAATCATACCCGGGGATTTCACACCTAGGGTACTTCTGCCTATAATCCCCGGGGCTCATCTCGGCGTCAGGCAAATCCGACCCGGATGAAGAACTCCCAGACTCCCCACTACGCTCAGGGCCCAACCCAGCATGACCCCTAATCATTTCCACCTCGGCGTTGAAGGCTAACATCTCGACCTCGCCATCTTGTGCCGACACCCTATCACTAGCCGACGACCCTGACGATAATGTCACACCTTCGGTGGCCATTATCAACAAAAAAATCTAAAAACACAAAAAATGAACCTTTAGGGGTACTCGGCTCACACGAAATGATATTCAGGCAATATAACTACAAAGAAGGCATGAGGAATGGAGTCCCATCCCCACCCCTTATATAGACCACACAAAGCAACCCAAGAGGCTTGTAACAAATGCGCCTGAACGCGAAGAGACATAACCCTAGGGCGCGAAACCCAAAGGCGGCCATGGCATGCAACAGTCACTATCCACACGACACACCTCCCGAAGAACACGTATCCCCAAAAACAAAACCCTAAAATAACCCCGAACCATTTCAACACATCAAACCCCTTCGTCTTTCATCTTAGGGCTTGGGGGGTAGTGTACTAGGAGGCACCCCTTCGGTCACGCAATAGGCCGAAAGGGGTGCCCGAGCCGACAAAAACACACCACCCCTTCGGCTGGAGGATGGGCCGAACACACCCTCTCGGCCAAAGGGGGTACCCAGGACTCCCTTACCACTAGGAGAACACCCATCAAAACCTCTCGGTATTAAGTTGGGCCGAACACCTCCTCGGCCTTGACCTAAGCCGAACACCTCTTCGGCCTTGGAGGAGGCCGAACACCCTTTCGGCCTCATGCCTAGCCGAGGACTTCAACAAAGAGCAGATCACAAGCAACACTGCCATCAAGGACGAGTCAAACACCTCCTCGGCCTTGACCTAAGCCGAACACCTCCTCGGCATTGACCTAGGCCGAACACCTTTTCGGCCTTGGGGAAGGCCGAACACCCTTTCGGCCTTACGCCTAGCCGAGGACTTCAACAAAGAGCAGATCACAAACGACACGTGGCAAGTTAGATACTTATTATGCGCTAATTACCATGCCAGATTAAGAGGGGATTAAGGCTAACTCAAGTGTTACCCATCTCCCAAGACTGAAGACCCACCAGGCCCAATTGTGTCACTATAAATACACAGGTGATGTGACATAAAAAAGGTACGTTATTATCCAATATAAAAGCACTTATTGCTCTATACCGAATACTTACTTGATCGTTGGAGTGCCTTTGCAGGTACCCTCCCCACCTCTCGGGGACAGTATTCAGTCGGCACGAAGACTCAGAAGACCAAAAAAGAAGAACGACAAGAGGAGTGTTTCTACGCAGGAACAGATATATTGTAAAATTCTTCATATTTCCTCTTGAATACATGAACTTCATCATCCACATGCAAAGGAAGCAACCTTGCAAACTCGTACCATTCATGACCATTATTTCACAACCTTTTTTTTTTACCATTCCATATCAGAGAGCAAACTTTGACCTCTCCGTTTGGCAGCATCATCATGTTGATTTGACAAGGCTTTTGCTTCAACCATACATCATGAATACGCAAAGGCATAAGCAAGCTAAACTATAGTTTAATATCAAATATATAGTAGGTTTATAGAAAAATGGACCATTTGCCAGCTAGTTGGCTAGAAAATATTACAACTCATACCAAAGTTTGATAGGCTGTGGCCATCATTTCAGTTATTGTTGTTTCCCAACATTAGTGTCCAGGAAATTGCATCACTTATTGTAATCGTTGGGATTAGTCTTCATTTACTAAGTCTATCAAAAGTCCGCACCTAACAAAATTGTCAAACTCGACATTTCATATAAACTTGTGAAACTTATGTGAACTTGACTTATAAGCTCAAATCATAAATTTGTAAGAGTTTATTTATTATAAAAATAATATTAAAAATGTTATTAATGACATATATATATATATATGTATATATTTAATATAACAATAATTCAACATTTTAACTCCATAAAAAGACAAAAGTACTAAATTACAATAATAAAGTATTGTATACATTATTAGTGAATGAGATTAAACTACATAAATTATCAAATTATATATAATTTTATAAAAACATAATTCTTAAAGTGAAATTATTTCAAAAAGGAGTTAATTTATTCAAATCATGAACTATATAGTAAAATACTAACATCGTCGAGTCAATAGGAGCAAAAATTACATTTAATTTTATACTCCTTAACTTGTTTCTTGACCAGAGAGTTTATAAGAATTTACACAAATTAAAAAAATTTACTATAAAATTAACTCGTTTCTCTTACTTAAAATTGTAAACTCGAAAAAATTTATTAGTTAACTCGAGTTTAACAACCTTGCAGATGCACACACAACTACAACTGATAGAGGTCTTACAAGACATGAAAATGTGTAAACCATAGCCATAGAGATACTCTCTTAACCTTCCCACCTCACGTGGCACTACTAGCCACATCACTAACTAACTCTCCCTTGATCCTATTTTCTTCCTTAGGGAGTATACCGTATACCCTCCATATGTTTTTGATTCTTTAAAATTTCTCATTTATAGAGATAATATATGTTTTTGATATATGTTTTTGATTCTTTAAAATTTCTCATTTATAATTTTAGTCTCTCAAATCTTTTTTGTCTTATTTTAATTTCTCTAATTTGATAATGTATTTTAATCCTCAATATTGTTTTTATAACCGCATTAAGAATTCATTTAAGTAATTTTTTTTAGAAACACTACTAAAAGAGAAAATTAGGAAGGAAAAAGAAAATAAACTTCTCCAAAATAAGCTAATTTGTTGCAAATCTTATTTTTAACTTATACATAATCTAGTTTTAGTTTATAAAGAAACTTATTTCAAGTTTTTCAATTTTTTTTAAGTATCAGAGAAGGTTATCCAAATATTCACAAGCGTTATCAAAAGTGATATTCATATCAGAGGACTATAAAATTTTTTTCAGGGATAAAATTTTGAAAATATTAGAGGACAAAAAAAAAAAAAACCCTGGAGTTTATTACACAAATACATACACACATTTAACTACACCCACTTGATTCGATTATAGTGTGTTGACATTGGAAACAACAACTAGTGTTCAAGAGAATTGGTTCCATCATTAAACAAAGCATGTCAACGAACAAAGTCAAAAACTACGGTGTGAAAAGCGAGACCCTAATTTTGCGGCAGTTTGTTATGCTACATATTTTTCAATGAATAAGAATCATACGATAATTATAAACCTGTGAATCATCAAAATTTCTTTAGTTGGTATTTTAAAAAATGTTTATAAATGTTAGCTACCAATCATCACCAAAATTTCTTTAGTTGATATTTTTAAAAATATTTATAAATACTAGCTACCAACTAAAGATTTTTACTGTATTATATAAATAAGTAAATTTATTATATTAAAATTTTATTTTTATTTTGAGAAGGTTAATTTTTTATCTCATCTATGGAAATATTGTTGGAGTTCAAACATGAATCACATCTATTAAAATTGAATATATTAAATAATATATAAGAGAAAAAAATATATTTAACTAATGTTTTAAGATTTTGAATTAATATATGGTGTAAAACTCATTTTTGTAATTTATTTGATACTCATGGATAAGAATATCAAGATATTAGAGTCAATAATTTGATCAAGTAACTGATAACTCTAGATAATGAAATTGGTAAGAGATTAAAAAGTGGAATCATCTCTTACTAGGACCAATCACTACAAGAAATGTTACATATAATGACATACAAAAAGTGTCACTATAGATATAATATATGTATGTATATGTCTATTTAACATATAGTTACACACAATTATAGTTTTGATTTTGAATGAGATTTAACAACATATTTTATGTGTCACTATAGCCTATACCCACACTTTTTAATAATATACCAACATATATTATAGTTATTGTGTGGGTAAAAGTAATTTTTAGTGATATATATAGTATCACTATAGAGTGTGTGTCACTATATGACAAATTTCTTGTATTGAATGATTAGAATATAAGTAAAAAAAAAAAATTACTTATCTAATACCTTACGTAATTTACTCATTATTAATGCTTGACGGTTTAACTCTCCGATCCATGGATGAAGTGACTAATATTTCATGCAAGAAAAGTAACATTTTGATAGAAGATTATCAAAAAAGTAAAAATTTACCGTGTAACAAACCCTTCTAGTCATTATGTGTGAGGAGTTAGAGAAAGGAAATGGATTTACCATTTTCTTGAGGTTGATAGCCCATTGGGCCGGGTACACTGGACCTAAATCTTGTTGAGTTTTAGA